ATCACGCAATTGATGATGATTAAGCCCATTTTGGTTAAATGGGTATGCAAATACGCATTACTATCTCATTTGGAACCCACAAGCTTTTGCCGAAACATCATTCAATCCACAGAAAATTACAGTTTTCTGTGCTTAATCGGCTGGCGGAATCATTGAGCCACATGTCTTCAAAAATTATGAATTTGAAAATTGGTGTTCCAGACTGCGTCTTGGCATCCAAATGGTCGAAATCATATTTAAACATAAATGTCATAAAATTGTCTTTCTAATAATGTTCGTTTCATAGATATTAAAAATATATTTCTTTGTAAATAATAATGATTTAAGCTTCAGCAAGCCCCAAAGTCGATAGTTCTCAAATGAAAACTCGCATATTTTATATAGTCACATGTTTGCTTATATGGAAATAAGTTAAATTATATAAAATATAATCAAATGTTATATATATATGTGACTATCTAAATTACCTACAATTTTCTTCAATTTTCTTATGAGTAGAAGAAGTTACTTTAAGTTACTTTCAGAAATTTCGCTAACAGATTGCTGGCTCGTCTTCTCCTTGAGCTTTTCCTAAGCTACAAGTGTTTGAGAATGATATGGTTTTAGTTCTTGCAAACCTAACTTACTATTTAGAAAAACTTGTATATATAGCATACCTAATATCCTACAATTTAATCCCAATATTGTTCCGCCAACCTAGTGTTGTCATTATAAAATTGCAATAACTATCTCAGCAGTTTCCAAGCCAGCAAGACTCTGAGTACCACAAGATGCACACAATATCATGCCACATCAGTTTGATGAAAAAATCCACCCCTCGAAGCCACTGGCAGTTAGTCAATAAGCGACACCGTGCAACATGATCCATCATCAGTTAAAGTTGAAAGCTGTAAGCAAACATGGCTGAGCTAAAACTATTATTGAAATACGATGCCGCGATGACAACAGACAAAACTGTGCCGTGGCTGCTCAGATAGTCCTAGCGCCTGACGTCGGACACAATGGGCTGAACAGCAGGCATAGGGTCCTCTTCGCCTGACAGATCAACTCGTCAGACAGCCCACAGCATGAGATGAGTTTCCATAGCTCAGCTTGCGATCGGCACGCGACACTTGGAAAGCTGCTTCGACATTTCAATATATATGACGCAACGCCGCAGGATCGCATCAGTTATTAAAAATGATGAACACTCGGTTTGGATGGGCATTGGGTTTGCTAATGGTTTTCTCGCGAGCTTATCAACATGCTATCGTCGACTACAGACATTCAGTTAGCGCCCACGTGCCACACGCAATTGCCAGCCAAATGCTAATTAGATGAAAGTCATTTTCCAATTCAATGCCCAACCCCCGCCAGTCCTAGACCAAACCTTGTGCCAGGCCTTTTCGGCTAGATCATGCGCTATGCCGATAAGAACAAATTTCTACACATTTGAATGTATTTTTTTTCTAATGAATAAGTTGCCTATTATTTGGCATGTGGGCTCGTGGATAAGCTTCTTTGGGGAGCTGCGGTTTCGTGTACCGAAATTCTGATTAACTACATTTATATTTAGATGTAGTTGACTCGATTTCTAGGCCAAATATTCAACAAGTAAATGTGCTCTAGGTGACCTGAAGCAATATTAAATCTAAGGTTATACATTTTTTATATATCTTGCAAACTGATAAGAACACTGGGGTGTTAGGAGCGGTGGCTCAGAGCTGAGTATAGAATATCTCTTGGTTCGACACATTCTTTAAATAAAATTTCTAAGCTTGCTTTTGTGGAGTATAGAATATAAATAATGTGGCTAAACATTGAAGCAAACTGTAAATCGAAATGAAATAAGTATTTCTTTTTTTTTTCTATATATAAAAAAATATATAAAAAATATATTTATATATATTTATATAATATATTTATATATTTTTAAATATATAAAAAAATTTTAAATAGTTAATCTCGTGGTAATATCAAATATTATAATAATCAAATTTTTCGAATTGTATAAGCTTTTTCTGATTAGATACATGCTTAAAGATTTAAGACACCTAGTTTATCTATAACTTCAATATGTAAATACAAATTTCTTTAAATTTCTTATTTCACATCTGGTTCTGCGACTCTTAACTTAACCAATCTCAAACAATAAAATAAACAAGCTTCGAGTATGTTATAGTCGCGCGTCTCGCTTGTCTCTTGTATGCATATTTTACATATAACTCACTTTCAATTCTCTTTGAAAGTTCACACCTTAACGTAGCCAGCTTCATCTTGATGTTTTGTCTACTAGATTTAACCCACTTATATTCCTACACACACGCACTCACACCCACAACAATATTTCACCCAAATATCTGTGCCTGGCGCATTTCCCACACCCACAGCTAACTGGAACTATGTAAGCCAATCCAATGGCCATCTGCTGAGCTTAACCCAATAAATAGCTGGCATAGTTGCCAGCGCTGTAAGCCAGGATTCAACGCCGAGTGAGTCATAAATTGTGAAATGCAATGCACATTATCGTCAGAGCGAGATACCAAAAAGTCAAAGAGTTCCAGCTCCAGACGGGCCAAGAAGCTGAGCCCCAGGCGAGACAGCGTGGTGGACACTTTCTGGCAAACAGTTGGCATCTAGTCTACAGCCAGTTGTAGTTGTTGTTGTTGGAGTTGCTGTTGTTGCTGCCTGTGTTATTTATGAGTTTTGTGATGTTTCTGCAAATTTTTCTATGTAAGAGACTCCTTTGTTTTTCGTAGCAACGACGACGAGGTTAGTTGAACTTGTGCCTGCCTTATCGCACGTCAATTGCGCAGACAACTTCATTGTAAGGCGCAAGAGATTCCTGCGCATTGATGTTGACAGCAGGAGTTCCAAGCACGCGTCCGTCCACACACAGAAACCACAGAAGGAAGTCGCTTGCGGTTCGCCTCGGGCCGCTCTAGCGCTTTTCGGCTGTGCCTCTTGCGCCCAGAAATCTAATTACATTTTGTGGCCGAACTTTCAATAGTGTTTGAGCGATTTCCATCAGTCAATAAAAACTGCGCAAACGCCAAACTGCAACTCGTGCGTCTTGCGGACACAGCAGGCACATGCTCCAACTGACTGCATCTGATATGCCCCCGTTGCCAACAGGCAACTGCAACAGCAACGGCGACGGCGACGGCTCTCACAACTTTATTTGCGCTGCATTTCGCGGAAATCGAAATCTGTGCGAAACTCGAAATATTTCGTTGGAAATTGGAATGCCAATTCAATGCGAGCTAAGTTTTTTGTTTGCATACATGTTCATGGAGTCAATAAGAGTATATAGGTTTCTATAGTGCTGCTGTATAGATGGATGATTGACATTTAAATCAGTAATTAAGTAAAACATACCTCACACTTTAAGAGACAGAATCTCAATATCTATAAAGTGCCAAGTCAAAACATAGACTCAATAAATATAAGGAATATATAACTAGGTAAGCTTCAGTTCAGAAACTGTTTAAGCGGGCATTACACAGTTGCTAGCAAAGTTTCTTCTCGGCTTTGGTCTTCAAATTTTGCCAAGCTTCAGGAGGCATCTAACAAATTATGAAAACGTGCTGCTGGGCGGACACACAGACAGACAGACAGGCAGTCAGTCAGGCAGACAGAGAGACGTATAGAGGTAGCATATGCTGCGCTGACAAGCCAAACAATTAAAACTAAAGTGGAAACGATCAAAATGTGCAACCCCGGTACACAGATCTATTGCCACAGATATAGTGCAGTCAGACCGCAGTCCCTGGCAATTTGCATATATTAATACATTAACTGTAGATCTCCAACTGGTGGGCACTACACCCTCACAGGACACCACTCTCTCCATCTCCCTGTCTCCTGTCTCTCTATGCGTGACTCACTTCGTGCTGGAATTCTAGTTGTCGGCAATTGCCAATTGGCATTGGATGTTAAGCGTCATGTGTGCCGTATGCTAATGACTCCTACAGGATTCTCTCCCACTACCTCACGCCCTCCCTCTCTCTATACCAAGTCCAATACGATATTATATATGGGGCGATGATGAGCTGCCAGCTCGCTTTTGACATTGTCATGCTGTCAAGCGTAACCAAACTCCGATAAGAGCAATAAAAATGAAAATAGGTTGCCAGCGGCTCACAAAAGCAACAATAGCTCTCGTAACATCTGTGTAGAGCCAGAAATGGCAGAGTTTTTAGAGTTGGAAGAGAGCGATATACACTGGGAGAAAACTGCGATGTGATCGATGTGGTTAGGTCGATGGTTAGAATGAAATATAGATGAAATATATTTTGTCTTAAATCAAAGGGGAAGATGATTCAATGAAGGCTGTAGATGTTTTATATTTCTTTATAATTTTATAATTCAGAATTTGACTATTGATATCTAGGCGCAGCTCATATATGAATATTTATATTATATTTTATATATTTTTTTTTATTTTTATTTTTATTTATTTATTTTTATTTTCATATAAATAAATCATATAAATGGATCTCCAGCTGCTTCAGCCCAGAGTATAAACCTAAGGTTAGAGCTCAGTTAAGATCGCACACAATCTGTCTCACCACAACTATAAAATACCTACACTAAAGTTAACTAACACATTCATCTATACTCTAATAATATTCCAAATATGTGTCCTCTCACTTCCCATTAATTTGTCTCAGTGCATGGCCTGGCACGCGATCAGTAGCAGCCCATAATGCACGACACGTACCAATGCTATCGACTCGAATTGAGTTAATATATGCACCCACACAGTGATGACACGCATACCTACCAAAAAAAAAAAAACAAAACATAAACAACATTGAGGGAGACACCACATCAAATTGGAACTGAAAATTATGCCAATTGGTTTATCACTTGGCAACTGGAATTGAAAAAAACCAGCAACATCTGAGGGGCAGACAATTGCACAGAATTAAACAACAAAAAAACATTTCGAATGCCAAATTGCATTTAGTATTTATGGCAGGGAAGTACAGTAGGGCGCAAAGGCAGCTGCAACCCTTTCAAATGTATGGAGTGAGCCAGCGCTCCTTGGTCTGACGTCGCCAATTGAGGGGAAACAAACGCTTCCAGATCTCGTAGCGTGCCGCATTGAGGCCCTCCTGCAGGACTAGCTCCTCGCCAATGTCCAGATAGTAGCGCTTCCCAAAGCTGAACGGGCGCCAGCGAATGTCGCGCAATATCTCATCGGTGGGCTTGTTGGGGTCGCTGCAGATGGTGATTCATTTTAATCTAGGGTTTCATAATCAAATCTCGCTTACCCCTTGTAGGCGAAGGCGGTGAACATGCGCGTCATTAAGTCGACCATGCGAAATTCGTCATCGTCTTCCGTGAACATGCGGCTAATCGAGGGCTCCACGAACAAATACATTAGATCATCGTGGTGGACTGTGCCATAGGGCGCCTCCTCGGGGTAATGAATGTGACTGCGTCCGCCCTGGTAGGCAAAACGATAGTGGTACACCTTCGTGGCACGAGCTGCCAGATGCACAAACCGATGTATGCCAAAGCCCGTCAGGGCATCCGAGTAGAGTGTGGCCAGAGCCTGCAGCGAGCTGTTCGCCTCGAGCGGCAGATTACCAAAATAATATTGCCGCAATTCCTGGCTGATATTCTTGGCACGCGGACTGCTGGCATTGTAGAGGAAACATATCGGAGCCAGCGCCTCAAAGTTGTCATTGAAAGCGGCAAGCAAGGAAGGACTTTGCAATATGGCTAAAAGGAAATCAAAGATTAGAGTCGATGTGAATTACAGCCTCTCCCTCTCTCTCTCTCTCTCTCTCTCTCTCTGAATGTCTCTTTCGAACTCACATATAGCTGGACCCACAAACTCATCCTTGGTCATGCCCGTTATGATGGGTATCTTCATGAAGTTGCCATTCTGATAGCTGCGCACGGGATCCTCAACCAGAAAACGTTCTTGTCCAAAGTCTGGCTCCACCACGGGCTTCCACAGAATCAGCGGATTGTTGCGCCCAAAGTCAAACATGTGGGGCAGGGTGTTTGCATACTCCAAGTAGTGTTTCTGGAGACGATATCCTCTGAGAGTTGCTTAGCTGTGATCATTTCATTTGAAGCTCACCTCACGCAGACAGAGCATCATTTCTTTCATGTCCTCCGTGTTGCAATGCAGCAGTGCCGCCTGCTTCTTGGCCACGTCAATTTGATGCTCAGGCAACGACCACTGGCCCGTTGCAGCTCCACTCATCGCGATGGCGCGCTGGAAGAGACCCTGTGACATGGGCGACACCATGTGCAGTGTGACGGCCATGGCACCCGCGCCATAGCCGAGCACTGTGATTGCGTTTGGATTGCCGCCAAAGCGCGAGATGTGCAGCTTCACCCAGCGCAACAGCTGCACCTGATCCTTCAGACCCATATTGCCGGGCGCCTCCTCTGTGCCAGTGGCCAGGAAGCCCAATGTGCCCAGCCGATAGTTAAAGGTTACCAGCACCAGGTTGCGATCCATGAAATACTGCGGACCCGCAAAGTTCTTGCTCTGGCCGGACAGCGAGTAGAATCCACCTGGATGTATGAATACAATGACGGGCTTCCTGGGATTCGGCTCCGATTCAGTGGGCAGCTGGCGCGTGTAGATATTCAGCCTGAGGCAATCCTCGCTCACGTCCTCGCTGACCAGTCCCGGCTGCGGGCACTTGGGTCCATCGAAGGTGGCATCAAATACATCAAACCATTGCTCAACGGGCTCCGGCGGCTTGAAGCGCAGATTGTCCACGGGCGGCTTGGCATAGGGAACGCCCCGGAAGGCATAGAAGTTGCGACCCGCTTGCGAGGGCAACATGGTGCCACGAATTTTTCCCAAGGCCGTGGTGATGACCAAATCCGAGAGCTCCTTATCGCTACCCACGGGTACATCTTCGTCGTCATCCAGAGCCTTGGCCAGCTCGCTGCTATTCTGGAAAACAGAAATCGCTGTGCCCGAAAGCAACAGGCACACAAATCCGAGAAATCGGCACATTTTCTGCGCACTGTGCAAACAAGACTGTGGAGGCTGGAAGTGAAGCTGCAACCTTTTATAGCCACCAACGGAGCCTGGATTATGTCACATAAAGTTCGCAAATTGATGAGATTCTTTTCTGCAGCTGAACGTGGGCGTTGGCTGTTGCTTCCCTGTTCTGTAGGCTGCTTCCCATGTCCAATTGCCGACGGGCCGTACTGACCATAAATAACTAACACGCTGTCTCCCTGGCTGGTCTCCCAGCTCTTCCCACACACACCCAGTCCTGGCACCTAGCCCAATCTGCCGATCAGCCCACGCAACCTTTTGATACGAGCACTTCAGTTGGGCTTCGTCTATTAATTTGTTATTGCTCCAATTTTTCCCACGTGAACTTGTTTGCGTGCTTGTGGCTTATTAGATTAACAGCGCATTTAAACACCCTCCCTCGGGCTTAACCTCGGCGACCTAGCCAAAAAAAGAAAAAAGATAAAACACAAAGCGCAATTCACAGCAGAAAGTGATCCCTAAATGCTTGCTAATAGCGTTTAATGGTGAGCATTAAAGGTGAGCACAAGTCATAAAGTTCTGCAGCACAAGACGACGATGGCACACCCCATTGTGGCCAGTCGCTGAGCGAGACCGCAGAGCCAGAGCCAGCCGAGACCAAAGTCGCTGTAGTGCGTTAAGCGTTCCTTTGTGCTGCTCTTCCGTTTGTTCTTCCTTATTTGTTTTCCTTTTCCTTTTCCTTCGTATTGCCAACATCTCGGTTTACTCTGTGCCGTGCTCAAAGGACGCACATAAACTGTCAGTTGTTGGAAGGCAGACAAAAAGCGTGCTAATTGGATTTATATTGGGCATTATGAAAGGAACTTGGTAGCAACTGCTGCCTGCCCGTCCTACTTTAAAGTGTGAAAACATATAAATTTAACGAAAAACTCTGGGATAGGTGGGAGCTGCTGGGAACCAAGTGCTGAAATCAACCCAAACATGTTGTGAGCAGAAACAATAGCTCAATACTCATTGGCTCTAGCGAAAGTAATTGAATAACAAATTGAATTAAATAAAATTCAAATGGTTTTTATTTGAAATGCTTTTAAAATACATCATCTTTGCTTATTATTTTTAGATTAAACATTACTGATTCACTTTCATTTCAACATGTTATACAAAATTATATTACGTCTATTATAATTTGAAAGAAACAATTTTTGACAGTTCATTTAAGTTAAGTAAGAAAAACATCTGTTTAACAAATATATATCCAAATGTCCGCAAGGCAAACTTGAACTTAAATATTACTTTAAAGATCATATTCAACTACCAAGAATATAAAGCTGCCATCTCAGCACATTCTGTGCAGCTCTCACTGCACCAACAGCCGTAGGGGCTTCAGTAGGGCTCATAGGCCACATCCAAGCTCTTGAGGATAAATGACAGTCATTTGGCATGAATTCAACTCCTACACTGTAGCTGAAGCTCTGGCCATAATTGATGATATGACCTCATTCTACGCCAGTCGCCAAGCTCAGCTCAGCGATCTTCACGCCCTGGCATGCTCCCTCCAGCACTGCTAGCCAAGGCTATAGCTACAACCCATAACAGAGAGCACACTTCATGGCAAGCTGTGCCGTTGTTAGACATTCTGCGGTCGTCTTCGTTGTATTACCTGGTAATTGTAACATCAGCTCTAGCTCGGGCTCGAGCTCGGCAGGTGACACAAAGGCAGACGCCTCTGGTGCTGCAGTCAGACACTAATGACCAGACGACGTCTTGCCATGCGCCACAGGATGTGTCTGCAATGTTGTCGTGAGGTGTGAAGAGTGGCCAAACCAGTGACTGTCAATGTGTGTGTGTGTGTGTGTACCTGTGTGTGTTATTGCTTTTATGACTCCTGCCGCGCCTTGAGAGTCGTTGCCCAAGTGTGCCCGTGGTGATTTTGTGGGTTTTTCCTATTAAAAAGTGTTTTGGTCTTAACTTTCAATTTCGATTTAATTAGCTGGCAAATGTTGACATATTGCCAGAAGCCAAGTGCTGTTTGTGTGTGGTCGAGACTGCAAAGATTTACAGATAGATCTTTCACGCGAACCAGGCACTAGTTACCATCTAATAGAGATTGGCATCGATTTGGAATAGGCCAAGTGCTTGCCCAACTATAAAAAATGTCGTTTCCATTCGATTGTCAAAGCGCATAATTTATTAGCCATAATCATTAGATCGAGAGGCGTTTGTCTGTTCAAAAATTAGCATTGCATTCTCTGTGCAATGGATTTCTAATTCTACCCCAGCTTTCTAGGGGTTGGATCAACGAACCACCCCTCGCAAAAAAAAAAAAAAACAAAACGGTAAATGCACATTGACTAATGAAATGTTTGGCGATTGCGGCATTTTGGGTTCGTTTTCGAGTGCCTGGGCGAGAGGTCGTTCTGGGCCAAATGATTTTTAGTAATTTATGGCCCGCAAAGTCGGTACTGTTCGATGTTGGACAATGGCACACGGGTTTTGGCATGCCAAATTTCTACAAAAATATCAAATTTTTGTTTTGCCATTTCCATTTCAGTTTATGCCAATTTGCATTCGATAATACGCCCGCGAATTTGTTGTCATCAGAATGTCAGTTAATTAGTTGGATTTGTTTTCCAGGTTTTATGGTCTTGTGGAGCGTGGCCCGTGGCCCGTGGCCCGTGCCGTTGCCAGAGTCTGCCACAGCACCTGGGCACGCGTCACACCAGAGATAAGTTTTTGTTATTTTGAAAATGTATGGCAAAGCGCATTACAAATTGACTGCAAAGAGATATGAATAACTTTTATGTCCACAAATATGGGTAAAAGTAAAATGAAAAGCATTAACAGCTTGCATTTGCCATGCTTTGTGTGAGTGCCCTTATGCATTGAGGCTATTATAGATGCTGTTGCAGAGAATAAAAAATAAGAGAAAATTACTTTAATAATATAAAGTTTTTTCATTAACTCAATACTCATTTGCATTAATTTAAGAGTTCGAAAATCATAAGTATATATGGAAAAAAATAAATAAAAATGTTTAAATTATTATATATTTAGAATTATTATATATAACAAAGATACATTTAAAAAAATTTTTCTATAATAAAATATGCAAGATTTTTATGCAAAAACTATTTAAAATTCTATATGCATAAGTAGAACCTATTGTTAATAATGTACAAAAATATAGAAGCTGTTAATGTTGAATATCGATATTTATCGGTGCGCGGAATTGGAATATTTTTAATTTATTGATTCTAATAAACATGTGTTTGTAAATAAATATTTACAGCTTGACGCTTTCTATTGAAAAGACATAAGAAAGACACAAGCGATACATAAGCCACAAAAGTCCTTGATATTAAACAATAAAAAATATATAAAAAATAATATAAATTGCAATAAGCTTTGATTTGTATAGATTATAATGTGGGCCTGATAGATGGATGATCAATAACAGAGAATAATGAATCTCACTCTTAATTGACTTAGTCATAAAACACAATTATGAAATTAGTATGAAATCGTTCAAAAAATTAATTAAAACACTACAAAAAGGATAGTTTTAGTCATTAGTTGAAGAGATCTATTTATTATGCTGATCCAAAACAGAGACAGAAGAATTTGCCTTATTTATTTAGCATAGTATAATAGCATACAACAGTTAAGTTAAGAGTGCTTAAGTCGATACCTTGAACCGTCCCAGCATTCTATGCTTTTTCTAATAAGAAAATGGGATGAGTGATCAATAAAATGGACTTGGCTGAATCGACTGAGCATGTCATTCTGATCAGCTACGCCTACTTTTGTCTGTGACATTAATTTTGAGTAAATTCCAATTTGCAATGGGAATAGAAGTTAGCGAAAGATTGTTTCTGTTAGCTGTACTTAAATATGCTTAGTGCATATTTTGGTTCTCAATCCACATATAATAAAATGCAATAACATTATATAAGTTTAAGTGGAAGTCGTATTATATTTTCTATATTTATCAATGCATTTCTCTCCCATTAAAGTCACTTCATTCCGCGAATGCACATCAGCAGCTGCCTCTCTCCTGCATCCAACGTCCCTTGAGCATATGCAAAAATAAGTGTGTGGATCGGAAATGGATGCTCGCACTCTATAAGTGGAATCCACCCCGATCGGGTAGACAGACGCGACTTAAACAACAATTGGCAAACGGTAAAAACTGTCAAAGGCAATTGTCGCACTCTTTGTTCGCCGAGGCACAACAAACTGACAGACAGACAATCAGACAGACGGACGGACGGACTGCCACAGTGATTGATCATTTGATGAGCTCTTCGCTTCGCAGTTATCTGTGTGTTATTGTTGATAATGGTCTGGGCATAGAGCTCGTTTATCAATTTCGAGTGGGCTGTGTGTGCGAGCCTCTAAATGAACGTGGGAGTTTCTAGTTTGCACCTTTCAATAAAAGTGGCTTGGGCTAGTCTCTGTCTGGTTACCTTTGCCATGCGAAGCACGTGCCGCAGACTCGAGGCGCTGCCTAGCATGTAAATCTGTATATGCCACTTGCAACTGCAACTGCAACTGCTGCAGCAGCAGCAGCCGCCTGCATAACCAACGTCGCGTTGCAGCAGCTGCTGCTAGCTCGAGCTGGAGCTGGAGTTGGGTCTGTGGCTGTGGCTGTTGGCTGCGGCTGCGGCTGGCGGCTTGCCGCAGTCTTTGCCACTTCCTTTTCGTGGTCTGTTTAAGAATTTAACCCGTGCCGTCTACGTGCTCACGGCATTCAGAGCTAAATTAATTGTTGTTGTTATTATTATTATTATTTAGCCGCTGCGAACCACCTGTTGCTGGCCCAGACCTCCTCTGCACATTAATTGAATGTTAAAATAAAAACTGTGATCCCTTTGATTTCGCAGTCGCACTTTTCATTTCTATAATCGTCGCCGATGTCCAGATAACTTCTGACTGCCCGTCATAATCGTAATCGTCATCATAATCGTAATTAAGTTAAACGGGTATATATTGAGCTATATATACACATATAT